CATGGGATGATTAATGAGAATCAGTGAAAGAATATCTTCATTTGAGCACGAATCTATTTCCAAACAATAAAGCAGCCTTCCAGTTACACCTCTGGCTGGTGTCGTTTTTGGTTAATAAATATGATCTGTCACTTTATCGTGCAGAATATGTTCCACCATGTCTTGCAATGGATGTTTTTGTTGCTGCTTAACCACCTCATTTCCTGTGATAACTTGGAGTTTAAATGTTTAAGTTTTTCAAGCAATATGGTACACAATGCCGCTCTAAAAACGTGATTTAGTTTGTGTTTTTATTTGCCGATATTCACTAAAATTGCTTGTTTGTATTGCAAACATGGCAGAGAACATGTTTGAAAGCTACACAGGACAGGGAGGGACAGAGACAAAGCTGCAAAAGGTTTGGCAACAATAACACAATATACTTCAGAAATGCCTCGATCACAGTGTCTCTGTTCATGTTTTAACAATACTTGAATAAGATATTTGTTTGAGTTGATGTGGTTGGGTGTGTCATGGTGCAACAGCGCTCAAATGACTATTGAAGCAAGGGTGTGTGTGTGTGTTTGAATGTGTATGTGCATGTGTGTTTCTTTCTTTCCTTTCTTCCCCCCTCCTCTGCTGCGTGTACGTGCGCGTGCGTGTGTAAGGTGGCGCACTGAATGAGGGAAGGCGCAGGGAAGGGAGGGGGGGAGTAAGCAGAGACAGCACTGCAGTGCAGATAGATGAATGCAGTGGCCTGGGCTGAGTCAGCAGCATGTTCCCAATAGGCTCAGACTGTACAGTGCACTGTATAGCACCCTCCTTAACCACAGCAAGCAGGCAGAGGGAAAGCGAGCCACAGCAACAAGATGAAAAGTAAATGAGAACAATGAACACAGGCACACAGTAGAAAGCTAGTGTGCTGCTGTGGATTTATCCTTCACCTCCTACCTGCAGTGCTGCATGTGTTTTTCAGTGCATCACATTGTTTTGTGCAGTTTGATATCTGTGTCTTACACTGTTTGATAATAGGAGTCTAAAATATTGATAAATGCAACTGTTCATTACTATTGCTCGAAAAAGAATTTGAGATGATTATAAAACATTTATTTTATTTATGTTTAGGAATTGTTGATTTCTTTGTACTCTATATTTCTAATTGTGTGGCTCTCCTCAAAAGACACCATCAACATGTCATGTATATTCTGCAGTATACACATGCTTTGTCTTTTCCCCCTATAGGTTTCTGTCCTTGCATCCATCTGAACAGCAGGACTTGGTTGCAGTAGTGGGACATGGATTAAGTAGGACGTTGGTGTGATCTGCCGGGCTGTCTGAGCAATTTTGTGTGAGGGAGGGAGGGAGACAGAGGGAAGTCAGTGTAAGGGATACAAAGAGAGGGAGGTTGTCTTTAAGGAATCAATAACATGCAACCTGCAGTATTGTTGTGATCAAGCATCTGGGTGAGGTTGTGGTTGTTCACTTTCTGTGTCAGGTCTGCTCCGCCATGCAGAAGATGAGAGGAACAACAGAGGTGCATTGATCAAATATATAAATACACACGTAGACCTAGTTTCACTCACTGTGTAAAGAGGGAATGGGCCTGACATTGTCTTGAGTTCAGCAGTTCTCACAAAGTTCTCACATAGAACTATGTGTGGATGATCAAGCATACATTATCACATAGTTTATATTACCATATACGTAGCTGAGAAAGGAATTCAAATTAATTCCATTTAGTCAAATTGGAATCAAAAGCTGTGATGTATGCTGATTTATCTCTGGGGCCACTGCCCCATCCCTCACAGAGCATAGCCCTCTCTGCCCCTGTAGGGTTGGGATTTGTGTTATTCATTCCTGCTGCTGAACGCGTCTGCAGAGATCACAGCCTTCATCTTCTGTGTTTATTGCTGTAACCCCTCCAGCAGACTGAAGTGCTTCAAAATACTTCTTACAGCTATCTAACACCCTCTAGTGGGACTTAAAGGAAATAACCCAAGACAATGTAGGCTATCACTTCCACATGCGAAAGGGTTAGTTCATATTTTTCAACATAAGGTAGGGAGTTCCTTATTGGTGTGGTGATGGTGGTATGGTGAATCAGACTGTCTGGTGTCTGTTAATCCTCCATAAGTCCTGAGATATCCCAGCAAACCAGCAGCTTGTCAGCAAATGGGGCTATCACACACTAAAAAATCATAATCAGGTTAAAAGCAGGATTTTGTAGCCCACCCTTACACAATACATATTACATACAGTAAACCTTCTTTACTGGTCAGCCTGTAAAAATATATGTTAGATCTAATTAACAGTAATATAATAATACAAATAGGCTACCTGTAAACTCTCACACGTGACCGGTTAGTCGGTTTCTGAGCGACATTCGCGAGCCACCGTCGACTTCTGGTCCTTAAGTACCTGATGTAAGAGCCATCATCACTGGCCAGGAGGGGTTTGAAATGACTGGTAACGACTTTATATCGTCAAAATGTTACCAGTAAAGTCTACAAAGCTAAATGTTGACCTAAGTTGTTGTTATTGCCACATGTCCTTCCAGTTTAGACCATGGAGTCTGGAGTTGGCCTCTGGTGTTAGCTCTCCTCTCCACAGTAACTCTGCTGCCCGATGTAGACTACCTGCTTAGCAACGTTACATTATGATTGAGTACTGAGGAACAGTAGTGTGAGTACTGAGGAACAGTAGTGTGAGTACTGAGGAACAGTAGTGTGAGTAATGAGGAACAGTAGTGTGAGTACTGAGGAACAGTAGTGTGAGTACTGAGGAACAGTAGTGTGAGTAATGAGGAACAGTAGTGTGAGTAATGAGGAACAGTAGTGTGAGTAATAAGGAACAGTAGTGGTCAAACACAGAGAGGCGTTTGAATGTAGTCTAGTCAAGAGGGACATTTGAGCTAATTCAAATGTGACAGTATCTGAGTTCATGTCTGCTACTAAGACCAATTACGAAATGTGCTGCTGTAAAGATGTTTCTAAACAGCATGAAGGATGAGCTCATCCTTTTCTTGATATCGATTGCTTTCAACAAAAGTGGAGCACAAAGTGCTCAAGTGCTTGTAGCCTACTTTACTTGTACTTAAGTGTTTTGAGGTATGTCAAGCATTTCCATGAGGTGCATTAAATTCCACCCATTAGCCTTCTGTATTTGCTAGAAGTAACTTTACAGATTCAGATTTTAATATGATACACGGTCATTAAACTACCCAACAGGATTCTACTTTAACAGGGTTGGAGATTAGCACCAGCCACCAGCTAAATGCTGGGACTATATGCAAGTGGTTGCTAAATTTGCTTCACTCACCAGCTAAAAAAATAACAATGGTATCTATTAGGGGGATGGTATAATTTGAACATTCACAAGCCATTTGCAGGTGGACAGGGAAGTTCACTCTGTACCTTATGTGTGTGTGTGTGTGTGTGTGTCTGTGTCTGTGTCTCTCTGTGTCTGCATGCATGCATCGTATGTAGATGTCCACCAACCACATTCACAGGTGGACAATACAAGTTAATTTCTCACCCTGGTATAAAAGTAGATTAAATAAGCAACCCTCTATACCAACTACAACAATATTATTTTGTGTTCATGTGAATAATACCGCAATAATGTGAAAATAAAAGTATAACAGTGATGGGGCCATTATCTTTGCTTAAAGACCACTTTTACTTTTGATGCTTCAAATACATTTTGCTGATGATATTTTAATGGAATATTTTAATTTGTCCTTATTTGACTCAAGAGCACATGGAAACAAATACTACTGCGTTTTACAGACTTTGCAGTACCATCCACCCCAGGGCTGGACACGCAGACCCTGCGCCTGAAGAACGAGTTCTGAAGACCAGCCAGCAACAGTACGGTATCACCACTGAAACATCAGGGTGACAGTGTTGGCTTAACAAATGAAGATGTATTATAGTGCATAGTCCACAGTATATTAAGTAGATACCAATTGTGTAATGCTTTTTTTATCCTTATACTCTTTGTACAAACGCCTACAGTGTAAACTGTGCTGGCCTTTGAAGAGCAAGAGCCCTATTTGGAAAGACCTCACTCTTTTAAAATTGACCTAAACCGAGCTAGAAGTGACAAGAAGAAAACAGAAGATAGGCGCAAAAGACAGCATCTTGAAATTGAAAAGTAAAAGACAAACAGAGCCTGGAAGCCTAAAAACAATAAGTCCTGTTTCATTCATTTCATTATAATGTGTTTAAACCAACGTCTGTGCTGATCGTTTGTAAAATGCCTTCATGCTCCATCCATAGGGTCTTAATTAAAGGCTCATGAGATCATATTTATATTCATCTTCACTATATTTTGTGAGTGACTTTGCAACAATGTTTCTGTTAGTTTTCGATTATTTTCAGTTATAAAACACAATGTGGTATTTCTTAGTAAGACCCTGTAGGTGTCACTGTTATTCTTGTTATCGGGCACTTGTGCAGCAGCTGCTGCTGCTATTGTTTGTATGAGTTGGAGAATAAATGAATGTAATTGTTAAACAGTCAGAGACAATGTATTTTGTCAGAGGGACCATCATTGATTTCACAGGTTGAATGAATTACATTTAAAGATAAACGTTGCCATTTAACAGAGTTGCTTTTTGATGGTTTTCTGAGCTGGTTGCTCAGAATGGGAAGTGAGTCTGGCTCTGAGGTTAGTGAGCTTCATAGATGGGAATAGAATCTTAGCAAGAGGTTTAAATATGGATGGCTGGTTTATATACAGCCAGCGCCAGGAATGTGGTTTAAGGTTTGTTTAAGATGCCTGGACTTTGCTAATCCTCATTATAGTCAAAGATACGTTTTATGTAAAACAGTTTTGTGAAATACTTTGGACGTTGCAGCAGGGCTAGATTCACTGTGGATAAAAGGACAAAAGTTTCGGACATCTGTCACACGCGAGCGCATGCCCTCCGCCCTCCGGACAATAAAGCTGTGGATGATGGGGGGGGGGGGGGGGGGGGGGGGGGGGTCAGCATCTTCTCTGCTCTTCCTGTCCTTTTATTCTATGCTCTATTGAGCTTCTACTGGGGTCTTAACATAACATGGATGGCCTTCTTATTCCTCACCACTGTTACAACTTGGGCTAAAAATATTAATACATTATTACCGGCAAGAGAAATAAAGATTTGGGTAATTGGTTTATTGGTCCATTATTTCTTTATAATTTAAAATGTAAAATTGGACAGATTATATGGAAAAGGGGACAATGTTCTGAGAATGGTAGTAGATGAGTTTGAAACCAGTTGTTGCTTTTCAGAATCATTTTCTTGAAATAACTGCTCCATTTAAATCCAAGTGAAAAAATATGTAATTGTTAATTTATTATATAAATTCTACACCTATTATTTGTTGAATTATGTTCAGCTAATCTGCTGTCTACTGAGTAAAAGACTCGAGATAAATTAATTGGAATTAATTGTACCATTTGAATATAATTAGTGCCAAATTACATGGCTCTTTCTGGGAAACCTCAGAAGAAACTATTAGGAAAATTTCATAAATATATGGACCAGTAAATGAAAGATAGTACCTCAGGATCATCACTGGTTGAAAATACAAATAGTGGAACAGAGTCCTCTCATTGGACATGGTCAGCACATCTGTAAAGAGAAAACCTTTTGGAACATATGTCATGCTCTCGTCATAGTATATTTTAGTGACTGATAATGACACTCAAACCTCAAACGTTCACAGACAAAAAAAAAAGTCAAGGTTTTTTTGTTGTTGTTGTGATATCTTCATTTTTATGATGCAACAGTCTTTAGTGAGGTAGACTTTAACAGGTCAAGAATTAGAAACATTGCTCCTTAAAATGGCAAGTGAAATGACATGAAATAAATATTTCCATGTACAATGTCTTCAAAATGAGGTAGAAATGGTTACAGAGAACACAAGATACAACAAAAGTACAACTGGATTAAGAAGATAACGCTGAAATGCCATTTTCCATCAGTTGGACTAATTCAACTCCACTTACTTCAATGAATCAGAGTTACACCAAGAAACAGCAAATACTGTTGTTGCAGTGTGTAAGTTAATGTAGATCACATTTTTTGTTTGACACTGAAGAGCATCTAATTGTTGTAGCTAAGCGCTTAAATACTTTTAAAATCTGGGGGTAAGAGTACATTATTATTAGTGTAACACCTTTTTATTAATATGTATTTTTTTCTCCAGCATAATTTGAAGCTAAATCTTTGCGTGATGCGTTTTATTTTTATTTTTGTTCAGTAAGTTAAATTTCACGCGTTTACATTTCCAAATTAAAATACTTTTTCCAGACTAAATCTGAAGCGGCATTACACCCTAAATCTTTCTATGTATGGGGATCCACTCTCTGGGCATGCTGTTAGTTAAGAGTTTGGTTATGTTTAATTTTGCAAAAGAGATATTTGTATGGCATAACCTATGTAGGGATGGCATAGTGTAGCAAGAAAGCTACAACACTGAAAAAAAAGATTTACAGTTGTAACTACATATTTTCTGATAGTGCACATACATTTGAAACCTCTCCCTTCTTCATGGTGTCGATTCGTGTTAGAGCTCAAATCAAGCTGATTAATTGGTGACACTGTGTCAAGCGGTTTTAAAATACTGATATTGAAAAATGGAGATTGAACACTTTATTAAGACATTTATTAAACATACCTACTATAGAGCATATACTGTAATATGTGTATATCTTGATATGTCAAAAGTTGTTAATCAGGAGTGCTTTATTTTGACAGTTTGTCCACAAACACTGTTTCCCCACTGCTAACTACACTAACACTGAACATGTCATTCATTTTTCCACCAAAACCTAGAAGAGAATTACATCTATACATGAAGAAAATATGTTTCATATATCTAAAAACATCATTGATGTACAATATGGCATGTATTGTCCTTTTTAAGAAAAATATCTGAATTACATTCAACATTTCAGGCCTTGGTACAAAAACCTCAAGTTTTTTTCCCAGAGCTAAGAAGCAGTGTGTGTGTGTGTGTGTGTGTGTGTGTGTGTGTGCGTGTGCGTGTGTGTGTGTTTTTGTACATGTTTTCTACTGTTAGTATCAAGGCCTTGTAAGTTCATTGTTTCCCTGAAGTGTTCAGAGTATGTTTCGCTCTTAATAAAAGCCATGGCTCCGTTTTCATCTTGCTCCATAAAGCTCCCTACAAACACCCGAAGGTAATAACATACATTCTTATTTCATCATTCTGAGGTAACAAAATTCTTCCTGAGTATTCAATAACACGACTATATAATCATCCTTTTCAGAGGCAAAAGTAAAGAGAATGCATAAAAAAAAGTAAATCCCGTAGCAGACAAGCAGGTAAATCTTCATAAAGAAAGTCATTTTAAAATTGCGTTCCTCTCAGTCTGGGCTGTGCATCCAAACAGAAGTAACAAACAGGCTTATGGACCTTTACACAGTTTACTCTGAGTGAATTTTAGCAGAATGCAGACTTAAGCATAGTTTTTTTGTTTTTTGGTTGTTCTGTTGATTTGTGTAGTCATTGTTTCTTGTAATAGTTTGAATCTTAAATGTGTGAGCTGCACCATTATTCGCAGATACTTTCCTGTTAGTTTTAGGATCAACAAACATACAAGCAAACAACATGCTTTGAAGATGATCTGAATATACTCTTATGCTGTCATGGTATGAATGCTAAATACATTTTTAAATGAACATAAAATCTGAGATTATTTCCCCACTCTTTCTTTACGTGAAAACAATTTTAAAGGGGCGGCTTCGTGTAGACTATGTAATCATTTGATAAGCAGCTTGTTATGTATAAACTGGACAAAAACAAAAGTTGTTCAGCAAGGAAAAGGGTTGAGAACAAGAAGCAGGACACTGGGACAGAATAAGATAAAGAACATGAAAAGAAGGGGTTAAGGAAACTGAAAGAATGAGTAAAGGTAGGGGGAAAGCCAGGGATGAGCGGGGAAACATTAATTTCTCGAGGCCAGGTGACACACCGAGCCTTGGAGTCAGCTGTGTAAAGTAGCAGTGATTGTGCTGAAGTAGTATGGTCGTCTCACCATTTCAGTTATTGCTTTCCTTACTTTTTGGTCGGTAATGATTTTTGTGGTGTGGTAGAACGTATTGCAGTCAAAGGCCTTTTTCATACATAACGGCCACAAATAATTACACCTACTTTTACAACAGTTACGTTGCAGATGCAGTGCTGCTGCCGCAGTAGCCAAAGGACATAAATAGGATCCTGAGAGAAACAGACACTCATACATTTAGACTGTCTTAATGCTATCTATGTAGAGAATGCCTCGACCTCACCCCTAACTTACCTCAACCTTAGAGGGCAAAATGCCCCCCGTGAATCTTTGGAAAAATATGAATAGTGAACATTTTAAAGATGCACAAGAAATACCAGTCTTGTGCCTTCTTGTTTTTCAAAAGTGAAATAAAAACCTTTCATTGACTATCCAATTTTGTTCACCCAAAAAGAACCCTGGTTGGTTTTCAAAGGGCGAGCGAATCCTCTCAAATGCCGACCGGTGCTGTCAGCGCCCTGCAGTGGGGTCTTCAGGTCGTGTGTGCGATGCAGGTATCTTCATAGACATTCTCTGTTGCTGAGGGAAGGTGTGCTCCGCTGACGCGCTCTCACCTGCCAGGCCTGATGGTGGGCTGTAGTCCCCTGCCCCGACGTAAGGGGGGGACATCATGGGCTTTCCAGATTTGTAGGCCTGCGGGTCTGAGGTGGAGCCGCTCATATCGTAGCCATTGCCGTGCCCATTGCCGTGACCTTTGCTATGGCCGTTGCCATACTTTCTGTAGCGTGATCCCTCCACCTCTGCTCCCTCCTGTCCGTCCTCTGCCATCTCAAAGGCCTTGCGTTTCAGTGGTGCGCCTCCCTCAGAGCTCCCTCCAAGGCTGTGAGATGGGTAGCTGTAACTGCCCCCCACCATGGTGGGCCTAGGGGCCAGAGGAGTGGGGGCACTAATCCCAGGGGGCAGGTAGGAGGCACTGGGGTGGCTGTATCCAGAGGACAGGCTGGTTTGGGGGTAGCACCCTGGAGGGTAGTTGTAGATAGGAGTGCTGGCGCTGTAGCTGGGCACGAGAGTGGGTGCGGCCTGCAATGTGTGTAGAGGGGCAGGGGGAAGTGCTGCGCTTGGCTGAGGGCAGTATCCTGAAGACAGGTAGGTGCTGTTGTAGGCAGGAGGGTATTCCTGAGATGACGGGGCATTGCAGGAGCCAGCACCACTGTAGCCCGGCTCAGACGCCAAGTTACTGCTGACTACTGTCACACTTCCTGTGGCTGGGATGCCCACAGATGCAGAACCTACCTTGGTGCCGGTCAATGCCTCCAGTCCAGGGTAGCACTCCATGCTCTGACCCAGAGCCCATGGCTCAGATTCAGTTTTCAGGAAAGCTCCAGGCTCTGAGTAGGCCCCTGTAGGAGGGCGTTCATAGGACAGCTCCAACCCTGAGTACTTCTCAGCGTAGCGTTTGAGCAGAGAAGAAGCAGTTAAGGCTGATATGTCATCACTGGCCCACGGGTAACCTGCAGGGGCATAGCCTCGGCGACCAGCTGTAGCGTAGGGGTCGTGTTTGTGGGCAGACGGCGGTGAAGTGGTAGAGGTGACATCTAGGTGCTGCTCAGGCCACTGAGTTAAGGGGGCGGTGTGCTCCGGGGACCAGTGCATCTTCAACAGACCTGACAGAAACAAGACCAAAGCTGAATTAGTCCACACAATCTCAAAATGATGTTTCAACTATATGCAGTATTTTGTCTGGACCAGCCTCTTCTGTCTTCCAAAACTCACAGGCAAGTAAAGAGTCGGGCACCATGAATATCTGCCCTCATAATCGCAAAGGCTCGCTGACCCTTTTCCAGAATCATGTCAATGCTTAGCCCTTTGCTCTTCTACACAGTCTCATACAGGCAGAGGACAACTGCTCTAATCTTTATGTGAAGCCGGCAACACAGCCCCCAGCCTGGTCTCCACAGCGATAAGCCTCTATCAGCCCGCGAGCTGCCCTCTACCTTTACCTCACTCACATTAGGGCCATTGTTGTCTCTCTATGACTCTCTTAGTCCACAAAGCCACCCCCACCGAGCGTGTGATCTAATTCGGCTCAAACCTCAGGGGTCTGCTGGACGGGGAATAGGAGGTGTGTGTGTGTGTGGGTTGTGTGTGTGGTGGGGGGGGAGTAGTTTTTAATTATACTACACAGAGACACTGGACCACTATATCTATGAACACTATTACAAGTACACTGACTACTTGAGAAGTCAAAGAAGTCTGACATTTTTTTCATGTGCCATGCGTGATTATACATTTACACAAACATGTAATCCACTGGTTTAGTGGTTGTGGCTTTGATTGGCTTTTGCAGGCTTTTTCTTTTTGAACTGGCATTAGGCTGACATTCCAGGCATTGCAGAGTATTATTAAACTGTCCCAACCACAGGCCTGAGCCAGAGGGGTTTCCCTATAACAGCTACGCACAGAGGAAAAAGTTCCTGCCTCAGTTTCACCAACAGGGATGGAGAAATACTGCCTCTGTCAGTATGCTTTTTAAAAATATGTTTCAGTAAATTAGCACCAATATCATGATATATTTCCTTTCCTAGCTGTTCTCATTTCTGGTCTTTTGCCTTCTATGGATCAGACTTTAGTTCTTTACACACTGTCATTTCAGTATTAATTCATTATTTATTCTTGAAAATAATCTTTTCCTTTCGAAGCATGTTTTCCTCTTCAGTTTGACAGATAACAGCACCATAGATGATTGTCTTGCAGTCATAGGAAACGTGTTTGTTGTAGTCTTGTAATTTAAGCTTTTATTTAAGACTAGGGTTGCAAGTAACAATTATTTTCATTGTTTATAATCTGCCAGTACTTCTTTAGTAATCTACAGATCATGGTTGCATTACTAAGTGGGTCTACTGGGCACAGGGTTAGGGAGCCCCTAAGCCCTCTAACCCTTAACCGCAGTGCCTACTGGGAAGCAACTGTTTTGAAGATTTGTCATTACAGACAGAGCCAAAGGGTTCAGTCATTCACGTCAATATTAGAGACCCAAAAAGTTAAAAACTTGAAGGAATAAACTAAAGAGGCCATCTTCAGAGGGGTTTCATCCCCTCACGTCTCCTGTAATTATTAAGGCCTTTTCCTCTGTATGGACACCAACATCTCCTCCTGACAGTGGAGTTAAATGAGCTGTAATTAACATTCTAACATAAAAGTTACTGTGAGGAACATTTAACTGGTCTCAAAGTATTACCGATGCCTCTATGTGACCTACATAAGTTAATGAGACCATCAGCGAGAAGACTAGCAATTCTATATAATAATAATTATTATTCTTAATGCTTGTTATCGGTGCCACCAGGTCGGATTTAGCAGATTAAATCATGCAGGTTCACCAGAAACTCCTTTCTCCATTTCCTGTAATTTGAACAGAAGTTCACTCACTAAGAATCAGTCTACAGCTATTTACAGACTTCAGCTAAATACATATATTAATTTAATTAGAAATGCGTTAATAAATACAATGGTTTTGCAGACTTACAGAACATTATCTACGGTGTGAAGTCCGTCCTGTGGCCTTCATGCGGAGAGATACAGGGTCGTCAGACTGATGCTCACTGGTCATGCTGATTGCAGGCACGAGCCAAACGTTTGCCGCTTTGCCTTCAATCTACGGTACTCATCTCACCCCGTCTTTACCCGATGGTTTATAATCTATCCGAGACATATTAGAGCGCAGTAATCTAATGTGCCTGGAATCCTCATCAAAATGCAGCGAAGGAATGTGAAAACTGAGGATCATTCTGAGGTCACACGATGGAATAGTGAACTGCGAGGGTCTTGACGCGTTAAGAACCAGACCAATGAAACCAGACTAACGAAGGATTAGAGCACACAAGGCTGGTGGGAGTGTCAGTGCTCTGAGACAATTGTCGACACAAGAATTAAAGAAGCATCACCGCTGGTGAGCTTACTCCTATGTTGGCTGTATTTCAAGGCGATGCAACAAAACAATTGTTTTACTTGATTGTTCGATGGTTTTTGAAATATTTATAGACATTATCTAGGCAGTTACAAATAAATATGGCTACAACATAAGACTGTTTAAAAGCAGGAGTGACTTCTTCAAAGAAAAGAAATGTTTAATTCTTACATTTAGGCAAATCTATAGACAAGTATGTACAGTAGCTCTACTTAATAATATGTATGAGTATTGTACTGCAACTGCTCTCTGTATCAGGTGACCATTACTATGCATTACTATTATATTCACTATAGCAAATACTCACTCTTTATACACGTGAAGATAGTCTTAGTCCTGAGACCTAGAGTGCTTCTCAAAAAGTTTTTTTCCAAACATTTAAACACTACCATGTTTACCGGGAAATGTGAATTTCTGCGACAGATTAAAACCTCTTGCTGTTAACGAGTGCTGCATCAGACATCTGTGTTGAAGTACGGATGTTGGGGAGCAGGGTTTAGGTATTAGGAGGGACGAGTGAGGGAGCCCCTAACCCTAATCTAGCAAGTCATGCTGGCTCGGGGCTTGGAAACACCCCTTAATTCTTGGCCATGCTTGGCTTACCAAGAAGCAAAGATGAGTACTAAGCCGGCTTGGTACTCTGATAGCTTTCCTTAATCATTGTGATTATCATACTGTTGACCAACACCAGTGTTTCCTCTTTGTCTTGCAGCAGTTTGGAAGATGAAGGGGAAGGCTCTGACTGTTCATTGCTCTACAGAGGTGCCACTTCTAATGTTAAGTGATGTTGCACCATTAATCTAAAGACACCTTTTAGTCAAATGTCACTGTAATAAAGATCAACATACGATGTATGGTTGACTTATTAGCACAGAGGGGAAAGATACCTACCCCACTTCTACAACAAAATAAATTGCCGTTCTCTGCTGTGTTCAATATGTTTCAAACCAATTGAAACACTTTGTCATGTTAGCGTTACACTGCATGTGTGATGCCCTACGCTCAGACAAGCAATGTATCTAGAGAGCATGCGGTGGGATCTTTCTCTCATTTAAATGAATGAGAATGCCTCATCATTTGTACCTATGCACACAAGTTAGACACCAGACGTATAGTGTATGTGAGTTGACACTTTGATGAAGATGTATAATTCAGTCTCAAGCCTCTGTTCAATACCCCAAACATACAGATACTGTACATTATGTTGTGAGTGAAGCTTGAATAACAGGTGTCGCAGTAGGAACTTTTGCAATTATGCGTTATTTTTGTATGTATGTTTACGTACTCTCAAATTAATTTCTTCACGTGTAACACCATTCACATTGATGGTGAAGAGAATGTTTCCATTTTCAAAATGACTTTGCTAGATGAAAAGTAACCAATTTGTGTTGCATTATTGAGAAGAGCGAGATTACACCAGAAGAGGAGATGGCCAGTGAGAGCACTGAACGTGTTGAGGCAAGAGGGGATCAAGCATATCGAGGTTAGAGGGAAATACTAACATCCCAAGCAGACCCATCCTGCAGACACGACATGTAGTTTTATATAAATGTGGTTAGAGGTGTATGTAAGCTGCAGCTAAATCCTTCGGGAACCAAAAGAAACAGTGGAGCTGCCATGTAACTTACACTCAAAGGTGTGTGTGTCATTAATCGTCCCGACACAAGCAAGTAAGTCTCATTTTAATCTTCCCAGAGCAGGAAGTGAGGTAAAATTACAGCGTCGTAGTAAACTCTTCCTCCTCTCTCCTAATCAAGACCTAAAAATGGTTGCTACATGGCTTTACAGCAAAGTGTGCAGTATGTGTGCAATAAAGAGATGGACTGAGTGTAACCCTCCCAGCTCTCCGTTGAGCTGTCAACAACCTCCACTAACACCAGTTTCAGTGCACTTTACTACTTTTTGTAATTTTCTTCTTGTTGTCATTGATAGGATGTGACAAACAAATTCATCGTATGGTTTTCTCTTTCAAGGAAACACAATTATGCAAGTCATGGATGCTTTCTGTGTGTCAGTGGAGGCTAGCTTGACTCGTGGTCCACTGCATGGTCAGTATGAGTAATTAGGGGTTAATTAGATGAAAGTACGTGTGGGGGAAGGGGCTGACGGGAATGGGGATTTGGGGGTTGTGAGGCATCAGAGGTGGCTTGCTGGGGAAACATAAAATCACCCTTCTGGAGCTGAATGGTCCTCTGTTAGAGCGTTTTACTCCACTCACAGTAAACAAAGAATTACATTTCCTGAAGATGGACAGACACTCAGAAATACACACAGCAAGATGCACACGCAGGCTCAAGCAAACTCCTGTCTTGTGCTTTTTGTGCAGTGTTTTATCTCCAGCTGACCAACAGGCAGAGGAGCTCTTGGTCATCTATCGGTTGAGTCAGGCTGCTGGAATGCCAGGAATCTAACCTGAGATCTATTTACAAAGCACATATCCTCTCCATACGCTCAGCACGCACTGTCCACTCTCCGGCTGAAGGAAGGCAGGGAGAGAACATGCTTACTTACAGTGCTGATAAATGACCCTATTGGCTGTTTGCACATTATTGGGCGATTTATATTAGTTAGAGTTAATTCACACCACTGCTTGTAAGATCAATACAGAGGAGAAATGGGATATGAATGTGGAGTGTGTCAAGATTCTTGAGGAAATGGACAATGGACTTCACACAGTCACATATCTATCACACACACACACACGCGCGCACACACACACACACACACACACACACACACACACACACACACACACAGTACAGCTCTGTGTCTTCCCTGCTTACAGAGTAAGTGAGGGTTAGATTGTTATGTAAGCACTGACCATAGTCTAAACGCTGAAGCCAGTGTGAAGGAGGTTCTGCTGAGGAGAATACCCTCCCTCTCCCTCCTCTTTTCCCTTCCCCCTTTTCTCCAGATCTGCACGTTCCACCAGGCTGTCAGCCAATCAACTACTGTACCATATCTGATTTAAGTTGTACACATCTCTAACCTACAATATATTTCTAACTACAAATCACACAACAATTCAAGTCAGAATGCGGCTTTTGACGCTCAAACAGACACATCACACATATTTACCTCAAAGCACTACTGAGAAACTATTTTACTTTGAATAATTGTGATGCTCTCTTTCCTCTCATTACATTTCTCTTTCTTTTACTCAGATTTTGCCCCCCCATCGTCTTCTTTTCTTGAGCCTCGCTCTTTCTCTCTGTGCTGTAGGAAAGACGGGACCGTGTGTCCGAGCCTGTGTGGTCAGTTTTCCCCTCCCCCGCTCCTTTAGCTCACACACATGTGGCAGAGGGTGGCCTGGCCCCTCTTTGCTTATTGTGTCCACTCATATATCAGGGTGCAGCTGACCAGTCCCTCCTCACGTCCCCTCCATCTGCCCTTCACTTTGCTCTTTCTCTGTCATTTTACCAGCAGCAGCACAGGTCTTTACTATAACACCTAATGAGGATCTAAGGTGTGCTACAATTTGCTTAACAAGCTGTGATGATTACTATAGAGGACTAATGTGGAGTGTGTGTGTGTGTGTGTGTGTGTGTGTGTGTGTGTGTGTGTGTGTGAATGGAGGGTGATGTTTATTTGTCCCTCTATACAGGACTAATGAGTAGCTGCTGACACCAGGTTACTAACGATCTGGCTTTCATTCACAAAATCGTTTCACCCTGGTAACTGCCGGCTAAAAAGGGCTAAAACTGCTAATCATCATTATAGACAGAGAGCATAATGAGGTGTAGCTGATTGTGATTTTATGTTGAGAGAGTGAGTGTGTGTGTGTGTGTGTGTGTGTGTGTGTGCGGTGAGGTTTCATTTGAGTAGTTGTGGTTGTAAAAATAAATGCTTCATAGGATTGTGTGTATTTAACGTTTCTCTGGGAAGAAATTTAACGTGACGCTGTGAGTCTTTTTGAGGGAGGAATGTGACAGACGTACGTTACTAAAATCTCTGTCCGCTCAGAAAACTCCCTCGTTTTCCAGTTTTTGTCTCTGTGCAGCTTTTTAGAAGAGTAAAACCTATAAGTAAATTCCTGTTGCATTATTCCAATCAGGTGAGCGTTGTAATCCTGTTAAAGCTTGGCCTAATCAATAGCCCAGTCAATCAATATATGCATATTCATCAGCCTGGATAGCCACCTCTCACATATACAAGTGAGGTCTATACTGGGATGTGTCACAGAGATTTGTGTGATTTAATCTGGCTTTACACACTAATGTTCGACACATTGAAAACGTCTTCCACCTTAGATAACAATATCTGTCCCCAGAATACCAAGGAAATATAGTGCTATTATTGTTTGAAAATGAGTATAACCAACATTTTATGTATCTTTCATTTTTAAAGAAAAGCTCTGAATACGATCAACTGCTCCACTGCACTCCTTCACTATGTTCATGCTGCTCTTTGACAGACAGCGGTGCTTTGGTAAATTGTTACTATACTATATTTACATGGAGGGGCTGAAAAAACAGCGACTGAACACTTTCTGTGAAATTCCTCAATGCAAAGCCTGCAGATTCAGCTGTTAAAGGCATTAGCATATCTGCCTTCTCAAAATGACTTCTAAGAGACCCCCCAGCCCCTCGCTTCCCTCTACTGAGACACAGAAGATGAGTCCTGAACAAAAGAGGAGCCCAGAAGAAGAAGAAGTTGTACAGAAAAACAGACCAATCTAGGTGCCATTGTTCACGTACAACACGCCAAACACCTCCACCATTGGACATGGCCATACAACATATTAGTCCAAACATTAGAGAATAAAAAGGGAAAAAGCAGTGCAGACTCACTGTATGGGGTGACAGGACTGAGCATTCTGCAGCCCCGGCCCCAGGTGAAGAGGAGAGGACCAGGTCCACTTGGTGCTAGTGAGGGCCCAGCTGCATGCTGCGGGTCCTCCTCGGACTACTGCTTCCCCTGCTGCTAGTGGTTGTGCGGCGGTTGGCTCGGCTAGTGACTGGCCTCTTGGACCTCTCCATGGTTCATTTCACAGTTGAACACCGCTCCGACACGCTGCCAACTGAAAAGCACACACATGCAAGTGTCAGAGCCACAACACACAGTGAATAAGAAGAGGATGTTTATTTCAGTAGCAGCCATTAAAAGCCCAAGCGTAGGGACATTTTGAGAGAATTATCAATGTTTAAAGTACAAATAATCATAAAAGCCCATTTTTGCTTGCATTGATTACATCTTGAATGCAATATCCGTATTAAAAAGACTATATTGTAAAAATAACTTTTGGAAAGTACTTGCAGAAAGCAACAGATATTGAGTTTCTCATGCGCTCACTTTTGCTTTCCTCAGTATTTCTGTCTGTTTATGTGTACACACGTGTGTGAGCCACCGATCAAGACAGAGTTTGAAGCTAAATGCACTGACAGAGAGAGGGGGCTTTTACCCTCTGACCACAAAACCCGCACGGCCAGCGGAGACTTTACTAATTCTTTGAAGCCACCCATGTTTCGACACAAACAGTACAAACCACAACAGGAAGAGGAACTTTGCACTCTCTCTCTCTGCAGAGCAAGGAAGCTATCATGTCTAACATAGACTACTTGAGGGTTAAAAACTGAAGAATGAGTGCATAGACATGTAACCTGGTTGGACATATAGAGTACAAACTACTGCATGTGCAGTGGAGTAAGCGGCACATAAAAGAGGGCATATCACACATAAAGAGGTAATAGAGGGCATTTAGAATGACAGGAATGTGCAAGAAGCCGCAGAGACATTGTCATCTAAGCTAAATCTAAAGCTAAATCTATTTCAGCAAGTGAGTACATTTCTACTGACCTGATCATGCCTGGATTTGCTTGATGAGTGGTTCAATTTGGAAAGTAATCCACTATTCCTCAAAGTACACAGGGGAGCCCACGTAAATGTGTATGTGTGAGTCTTGTATGTGTGTGTGTGTGTGAGAGAGAGGCTTGTACTCTCTTCTGGGACCCTATCCTTCTCTCCTACACTCCCTCGCTCGCCCTCCAGCTCCCTTCTCCCTCCCCCCTCTCGCTCTCCCTCGCCCAGTGACAACAGAGCAGCGCATACATCCCCTCCCCCAACCATGCCTCCCCTCCCCCTCCTCCTTCTCCCTGCCTTTTGTTAAAACTATTTCAGCAGGAAGGGAGAGAGAGGGAAAAAGTGACCAATCATGCAGTGTCAGAGCAGAGCCTGTTTCCCCTGCTGTGTGTGTGTGTGTGTATGTGTGTGTGCATGAATTTCTGCATGTGTGCATTTTGTGTATGATCTTATTTGCACGTGTGTATGCTTTTTCTTTATTGTAGTCCTTCAGCGTGATGAATGATCATGTGGGTTGCACACTACAGAAAAATAGTGAATTTTCTCCTTCACTGATCACATGAGAAGTTCAGTTATTGTCAATGACTTCTATTGATCTGGTACATTGATCTGAGTGGTGTTGGGAGGGTGGAGTTGAAACAACCATGTCAATATTACCTAATTCTTGTGGTAACCCATCCCCCCCCTTACACACACACGTACACACACACACACACACACACACACACTAGCCTGCACACATGCATGGGCAACATTAAATGACCTCCACATTGGCCTCAACCCTTTGACTAAGAAGTGGGTAAATTTCTTCACCTTCTTCCCATTTATCAATATCTGATATTCTAATATATACTCACGCTTCTTTTATATAATGTTCTTTCCAGGGGCTCATTTAAATCGTTCACTTCAGTCCCTATTTTGCTCCCCAGTCCCTCATACATATAGAAACACAGCTGTGGTTCTGCATTTAGAGTTATGGAGTAGGCAGGACAAGCTGGGCCACTCCTCATGTTACTCCGCTGTAAACACTCAAGGCCCTGCAGGACACACTGCTTCTGCTGTGGCCTCTAAACACACACACGCACACACACACACACACACACACACACACACACACACACACACACACAGGCACATGTTTGACATGTGAGAGCTGTGTTTCAGAAGGTGGACTTTCACAGCTCAAACTGTAACTTTCCTTTCATTTTATTGGACTGTAATTGCATGACTATGATTACAAAGCGAGTTTCAACCCCCATCTTCACACCAACCTTACAGTAGTTGGTGATTGCAGTCTTTCTGATTTATGGAGATAAAGTCAGAAGTGGACTATCATCTGAGAGTATACCATGAGTTCATTTTTTGTCAATAAAGCAGTGGAAGTTGAGGTTTGTTAGAAGACCTTTCATCAGGTGAGGAGTAATGGCTAGTGCAGCGCTCAGCTCTTTCTCCCTTACCTGCTTTGCTGACAGAAACTGAAAAAAAGCCACGCTGTTTTTTTGCAGGCCAGGAAACAATACATCTAAACAATTCCAAATGTGCTGTGGGGGCTTTTCTTTTCATCCTAGATAAAGTAGGCTGTTTGATACAAATTCACTGCCGAGGTGAAGCCCCCAGATGTGTCTCTTGTTAGGTCAGGAACACCTCCTCATCTAGCCAAGACTATTCACGTACACTGGGCCTGCGGGTGCCGGTGTAAACGGGAAGTAGATTGTTTGCTTGCAGAAAATACGTGCTTCCTCTAAACTCTTCCTCTATACACTAAAACAGACTAGTTTCATGGAAAGTTTTGTTTTTCAAACTTAGTTACAAGGCTGCAGGTCTTGCTCTCTCTCTCTCACACACACACATCAAATATACTTTCAAATGAATACTTACCAATCAAAGTTTTACTAGATTGTGGTTCAATAAATTTGGTCAACACTCTGTCTGTTCTCTTACTTGTAGCTCTGCTGGTGGCTTAAGTCCCTGTTGTACTGGAGATCATTTATGCTTTTGTTCATGTACAGTTTCTGTGTGGACTTCACAATAGTTGTGCAGAACAAAATAAAACATTAATAAGAAAAGGGAAGTCCTCCGTTTTCTGTCTATCACGTTCCTCAAAGCCGCAAACCGTGACTTAAAACGCCGCTCGCGAATCTTACAGCCTGCTTCCACCGCATGTCGGCATTAGTAGAATTATAAAATTCAGAATTTAACTGCACAACAGCTGTTAGTATAGACAACAAGGTTAGCAATGTCTGTAATCCAAGACCCAATCAAGTCGCGAATGCAGGTGTCTACTTCATCATTTTAAAACTTACGGTATGTGGTTCCGCCTGTCCACACTAAGAGGTAACCCCGGAGTTTTCAAACTTATTCGACTTTCGGCAGCACTTCTAAACTCCTTCGTCTTCGGTGCTCTAAAACTCCGAAGTAGTGTGGCCGCTCAGTGTAAACGTAACACAAGATATGCATTTTAAAATGAAAACGTAGTAGTGCAGATGTAGCCTGAGACAAGCAGAGGGACAAAGGGCAGAGTGTGTGCTAATGACAGGCAGAGAACGGTGAGGCTATCAACCTGCTTGGAGAGCAAGTGTACTGGCAGAGACAGAGGAGAGATTCCCCTTACAACTCAACTACTGGAACAGATATAACACACAGGCACATAACAGCAATGCTGGTAACTGGACATTGTAACTCTACACGGGGGTCCCTTTTCCCCTGTATGGGATAGGTCACATGATAGCACCCCAGAGAAGCTCAGCTGTTTGCCACTCTAATTCCGTCTCAAGCAGCTGAGCACTGACCCACTGCTCCACTGAACTATTACCATAACCTGCAAGCTATGTTTCCTGAGTGTGGCCCAGAAATCTTATGCAAGACGTCCTTCTCTCTTGCTGCAAGCTCAAGAAAGAAGAAAAAAAAGCTCATCAGTGTAAGAGATTCAGTTTAGCTCGTTTGAATGAAACTTTATGAGAGAGAGAGAGAGAGAGAGAGAGAGAGAGCAAAACAGGAACAGGAAATCTTTGGAAAAAGAACAGGAAATGTGTGTATTGTCTCCCACAGGCAATGACACTGTCAGCAAAGTACTGGGCTTGTACTTAATATCTGATGAGATTTTATGTTTCTGTTTTTCACCAAATTTCACCAAAACTAACAATGTAAAACAGAAAACTGTTTCTCCCTTTTTGTTTCTGAAATAATTGAATGATGCAACCCTGGATATTATTTACTAGAAATATTTATTGCCTGTGTGTTATTCCTCTGTGCCGTAGAGCTCCACTGTTGATAAAAACACATCAGTGAGTCACACAGTTGCACTGGGTGACATGGGTACACGCCCATCTGCCACATATACTCTCACCAAATGTGCATTAATACACGGTTAAAAAATAGTCCCTAACAAATGATCCATTTACTTCTGTTTGAGTTACATTTGCTAAAAAAAACAGTGCTCAGCTGTTTAAAAAAAATTATAGAGCCCTGTTCTATTTATTTTTATTTTTCATTTAACTACAAATGTGTGAGCTGATTTTAAAGATGTATGTCTTGAGGAACGAATGTGCCTGGGTCTGAGTGTGACAGGGTAGGAAGGTCAGAATATTGAGAGACAGATTAATGCATTTTATTCTTTTCATGGGTTTTGTCAAGAAACTGGAGAAAGCACTGCACATGCGCTGAGGAGGATACAGGTATACAGATATACAGATAGTATGCTATTATTCTTAGCAATGCTGATGTTTTTGTTGTTGCCTTTTCCAGGAAACATGATGTTGAATTTAATCCACATCCTTAAGAAAATCAATAAGACAGAGTTGAATAGCACATTGGTACRCAGACACACACACACACACACACACACACACACACACACACACACACACACCAGCAAAAGTGTATGCACACACTAACTCATCATGTGTCCAATATTTTCAATTTCAATTTTCAATATTTAGTGCAGAATGTCAATTAGCCAGCCTCACATTTAGCAGACTGATGGCTATATGTTTTCAATGGTAAATAACAGGTAACTGTCTGCTAAAAGCTTAAACTGTTGTGTAATTTTCTTTAAAAATGGCAATAAAGCATAAAGAATAATGCTGTGCAGGAAAATATGAACAAAGAGGATATTTATCCACATGGTTTTATCTTTAATTTACAAAACAGCAGAAACATCACCCAAGAAAACGTACTGCATGCATGCACGCACGCACACACATATGCTCTCCCTCTCACAAACACACACACACACACATATATGCTCTCCCTCTCACACACACACACACACACACACACATATGCTCTCCCTCTCACAAACACACACACCCACACACACATATGCTCTCCCTCTCACAAACACA